TAGAAGAAGATAATTTGGACACTGTGAAAATATTGAAGGAGTGACCGTGTTTTACATCTGGGTGGTTATTTTATTTCTATCTTCTCTTCTGGAAGATAGCTTTATAATTGGATTTGATTGTTGCTGAATTTGGACAATATTTAATAATTGAGAAGAACATTTTAACTTTAAAGAACAAAGGAATAATTGAAGAAGAAAAGAAGAAAAGAAGAGATACAAACTATATTGACTTAAAATTCTGGCTAAGTGCATAGAGATGTAATTGGAGAGGTATTACTAACCTTTTAAAATTGTCATAAAATGGAGTTGCAGGTATATGAAGAGTTACTTTTGATGTTTAAAAGTATGTGTGAATCTTTAATAGGCAAAAAAGAAATGGAAAATTCATTTAAATATACAGAAAAAGAAAATGAAGAGAAGTTGGAAGAGGGAAATTTAAATGAGAAACAAGAAATTAACAATGTTGAAGAGAAAATGTTAAAAAATAGAAATCAGATAGAGAGCATTATAGAAATGGTTGGGAATGTAAAAAGAGCAGAGAGGAAAGAGGGGAAATTCCCCCTAAAAAAGAAACAGGCAAAAGGAAAGAAGGGGAAAATCTGGAAGAGACAAGGGAATTGGTGAGGAATGCTCAAATAATACAACAACAAAAAATAAAAGGAAGACAGAAGATGAAATGTAACATATATATATAAAATAAGAGAATTGAGAAGTTAGAGCGAGATAAAGGGTCATCAAAAAATTATTAGAAAAGGGGATGCTAAAAAGATTTAGAGATGATGGTTAAAGATGTTGGGATAAAAATTGACAAATATATATGAGATAGATTAATAAATGGGAATGGGAAAGTAGACAATATAATAATAATATTTTTGATAGTTTTTAAAATTAGAATGGAATTTTAATTGTTATAGTAGTGGTAAGAGAGAAGAATTATAGGATATATTGTGATGTTAGCTAGAAGAAAGCATTGAAAATGAAATGATAAAGAAATATGTAAGAATAATATGGTAGAAATTGAAAAAATATGATATGGCGGGAAATGATTATAAGTGAATATATGATAAAGGTGAATGAACAGAGTTTGTCTACACTAAATCTTAATAGATAGAAATGTGAAAATAAGCAATTTGACAATATTATTAATTTTGATATCAATGTAAATTAAAGTCCGTGTTGACAGGGGGGCAGAGGTCGACCCCAAGGCCCCTTGTATGTGAGGTGCCACAAGGGTCAGTCCTCTCGCCCCTTCTGTTCAACATTTATGTGAAGCCGCTGGGTGAGATCATCCGTGGTTTCGGGGTGAAGTACCATCAATACGCTGACAATACTCAGCTGTACATCTCCACCCTGGACCACCCCAATAATGCCCTTGAAGTGATGTCCCGGTGCCTGGAGGCCGTGCGGATCTGGATGGGGAGAAACAGACTCAGGCTCAACCCATCCAAGACCGAGTGGCTGTGGTTTCCGACATCCCAATATAGTCAGTTGGTGCCATCACTGACTATTGGGGGCGAGTCATTGGCCCCCATGGAGAGGGTTCGCAACTTGGGTGTCCTCCTGGACTCACAGCTGTCTTTGGAAGAGCATATGACGGCCGTGGCCAGGGGGACTTTTTATCAGGTCCGCCTGATTCGCCAGTTGCGTCCCTTTCTGGATCGGATGCTCTCGTTACTTCCCGCCTGGACTACTGCAATGCTCTCTACATGGGGCTCCCCTTGAGGAGCACCCGGAGGCTCCAGCTGGTCCAGAATGCGGCCGCGCGGGTGGTTATGGGAACGATGTGGCGCTCCCATGTGACCCCCCCTCCTCGTGAGCTGCACTGGCTCCCGGTGGTCTTCCAGGTGCGCTTCAAGGTTTTGGTTACCACCTTTAGAGTGCTCCATGGCATCGGACCGGGGTATTTACAAGACCGCCTTCTGCTACCAATAGCCTCTCACCGACCAGTACGCTCCCATAGAGAGGGGCTTCTCAGGGTGCTGTTGGCCAAACAGTGTTGACTGGCGGCCCCCAGGGGGAGAGCCTTCTCTGTGGGGGCACCTACCATCTGGAACGAGCTCCCCCCAGAGATACGGAGGATCCCGGACCTGTGCACATTTCGTCGTGCTCTCAAAACTTTTTTATTTCAGCAGGCTGGCCTGGCCTAACTCTCCTCTTTTAAATTTTTAATTCGTGTGATTTTATAAATTGGGTGTTTTAATCTGTGTTTTGGCCAAAATATTTAATAATTTTAAGGGATTTTTTTAAATATTTGTATTATCTATATTTTATCTTGGCTGTTCACCTGAGTCCTTCGGGAGTAGGGTGGTATAGAAATTTGATAAATAAATAAATAAATAAATAAATAAATAAATAAATAAATAAATAAATAAATAAATAAAATGGACATTTAAAATGTCAATTGTAAAGAGAATAACAATGTTGAAATCATGAAAGTGACTATTTTTGCAAAGAAGAAGGAATAGAACGTGTTTGTGATAAACCACAGCAGATGGAAAAGTGAAAATAAGTAATCTAAGGATATTATTAATTTTGATAACAATGTAAATTAAGATGAATATTTTATTGTTAATGATTGGGTAGAAGGAATTAGAGAGACACTTCCGGAAATGAAGAAACAATGTAAACAACTGGAGTAATTGTAACTGAGAGGAAGCATAAAAAATAATGGAAAGAAAATAATATGGCAGAAGTTGAAATAAGAAGATATGGAGAAAAATGATAAATTTGTGATAAAGGATATCCAAAAGAGATAAATACTGGGGAAAAATGGGAAGATTAAGATATATTATAACGATTATTTTGATAATGTATAAAATGTGACCTGGTCAATGCTCTGTTCATAAAATATGTATGATGAAAAACATTTTTTAAATAAAACTTGTCTATAAAAATTTTTATGACAATTTAAACACTATAAGAAAATTCATAACCACAACTTTCCTTTTTGCCTTTCATTTGATTTTGCATGTACAACAGAAATGTTTCCATGTATTCCATGTAGGCTATTATACTAATTCCCATCTAGTACTTTCAAATGTGCTTCAGTTACTTATGTGTAACATGCAGTGGTGGGATTCAATTTTTTAACAACTGGTTCTGTGGGCGTGGCTTAGTTGGGGGTGTGGCTTGGTGGTCATGTGACTGGGTGGGTGTGGCTAGCTGGTCATGTGACCGTGTGGGCATGGCTATGTGCATAGGGACTATTCAGAGGGCTGAAAAAAGTCATTTCTGACTGGTCCTTGCACTTATGACCATCCTCACATTTATGCCCATTGCGGCATTCTTAACAACCATGTCAGTCATTTCACCACTACTTCTCTTCACCACGGTGACAAAATAGGGCACAAAACGTAAAATGTGAGGACAGTCATAAGTGCGAGGACTGGTCAAAAGTGCGAGGACCGGTCAAAAATAACTTTTTCAGCCTTCTGACTAGTCCATATGCACAAAAGGATACAGCAATAGAGAGGGATGAAGGAAGGAGAAGAGAGATGGAAGAAAGAAGGAGAGAAAGGGAAGGAAGAGAAGGGAGGAAGGAAGGGAAGGGAAATTAGAGTAGGAGTGAGGGTAAGAGAGGGAGGAAGAGAGGAGGAGAAGGAGAAAGGAAGAGGAAGTAGGGATGAGAAGAAGCGGGGGGGGGGAGAAAATAAGAAGGAAAGAAAAGAGAGAGGTGGTAGGTTTGAGGAGAAAGATTGCTGTACAGTAAAAAAGATGAAATGGAAGAAAGGCAACCCCAAACAAATATAAAGATATTAAGATAAAGAATGAATTGTTAAACTTTAAAGAATAAAAGAGAACAAATATGAATAAATAGCAGTAATTAGAAACACACATACAAACATACAATGTATTTTCTTTGAACAGAGTATTTGGCCGGTTCACAAATTTAAACAGTGTTTAGTCATTTCAATTAAATTTACAATTTCTAAATTTCCTTTTTGCCATATTTATTCCTTATCTATTTTTTTAAAAAAACCAATATTACCCTTCATCCTCATCTCTAATGTTAATCAAATTCAGTTGTTCCCTTCTATTCTATATTATACCCCTTCCCATTGTCATCTATTTTTATATCCATCCTCACATTGGTTAATTATGTAATATTACAGTTGTTTAATATAAATTCAACATTTTAATATAAATCAATTAGTTATATAACTATCTTTTTTGTATATTAATCAATATGAACATGAATATTCCAATTATTTACATGCAATCCAATTTCTTACAAATCAATTAATTATATTTACCAATAATAATAAACCAAATAATTTCCCCCATATATTCCTCCAAACCACAACTTAACCATTTCTGCTTTCAACACAATATACAATTAATAGTATCTCAATTATTACAATTCCCTAGTTAAATAGAGCTTTTTTTCTTTTGTGTTTTAAAATCTTGAACTCTCCTCTTTTTCCCTAAAGAGGAACTACCTCTTTAGGGAAAACTACCTTTTCATTAAAGGTAGTTTGCATCTACCTTTTTTGGTGAGGAAAAAGAAAAGAAATCTGCCTGCCTAATTTTCCAACGTTGCAGCAACAGCAAAGTCAACAGCCTGCTTTACTTTCAGTTTCGTTTTTCAGCATAGCTAGGGGAAAAAAAAACTGCTCCAGCAATCAAACAAACAGCAGAGCCCTGAGCAAAACAGCTGAGAGCAAATCAGCTGAGAGTCGGGAGGCCGATCTAATCAACGGGCTAATTAGCCTATGCTGAAGCTCCGCGGGCCAATAAAATTACAAAAGAACACCGAACCGCCTAGAACCGGCAGAATCCTACCACTGGTAACATGTATAGTTCCTGGCAATGATCAACACATTCTTCAAACATTTGTATCTTGGCAGTTTCATATGTGAACAAGCTTGTATACCTTTTTCTCTCTTTTATAAGATTATCAACATAACTGAATACCATAGATGTTTTTATGAAGAACATGGACCCGAATAAATGAAACATGTGCAACAGATTACCACAAAGATTAGGACAGAATTTCTAACCTTGCACCTATCTAACTGTGTTTTCACTGCATCAGGATCTGCTGCTGGTAAGAGCTGTGCTTTCATCCAATTTTCAACAGTAATTACTGTCTGCTCCAATTGCTGCAGCTTAGAGTAGAAGGCAATGATGTTGTTTTGGTACTCCAACCATGCCAGTCTTTCACTCAGTAACTGACAGAACTCAATCCACCGGCTGTTCAACTGTCCTGAAGCCTGTTTTATGTTGTCAGCATTAAGCCCATCTAAAAAAAAGAAAGGAAAGAGTTGAGCACATTTATTTTTAGTTTATTGTGGATTCAGAAAAGTAATTTAAAGAAAGACATTTAATAACTCTTTATTTGAATCAGAGGATTTATAAAAATGATCTTGAGTATATACACACATATACAAAATACACACACACACACTACCCACACACACATATCTACACATACATACGCACATGCACACACAGAGCATCTATGCATGTTAGTACATGAAGCAAGCATTCACACACTTAGGAGGAAACTGTAAAATAAGGCCATACCATTTCATATATTATCTATGGAAAGGTAGTTCAGCCTATTTTAAAATTTAACATATCATATAAATTAAAATATGATTAACACATTTATACTTACAAACTGCTAATCAAATGACTCAGAGACAGAATAACAAATAGGAAGCTGACTCAACAAAAATCTCATGCATTCAAACACAAACCATTCCAGATCATGGGATCCCAACAGAGAACAATAAATGACTTGTAACAGAAGGAATGTTCGGGAGGCGGGACCAGCATCGCGGCGGTATGATGGACTTTTTGGGGACTCTCAAAGAATCATCGATATCCCTGCTATCTGAGGTTCCTCTGTGACCTAAGTCATCCTGTAGGGATGACAAACAAGAGGAGCATGTACCGGTCAACACAGGGAGATTGCAAACTCCCTGGAGAGACCAGAAGAAGCTCCCCAAATCGGATAATGAGGAAAGCAACCTAGAAGTCACTAAAAAGCCAGGGCGGCCGCAACAAAAAAGGAAGTACAGAGACAGCCTGTGACATCGAGGTGAGATTTGATCTAATTTTATCTGTTTTTTTGAAAGTTACTCTTTAACCCCCCTGGAAGATCTATAGGGTGGAGAAGATTGGCTGAGAACGAGGAGTGGGAGCGGGTATGTATTCGCACCCACATCCGATAATTTGGTGGCAAGGAAAATGCGACTGGAAGCCTATTAAATTTTTACCAAATTTTTATTGAAAAAAGAAGATGATTTGGGGATTTTAAAAATAATTGGACATTAAGACTTTGAATGAACTGAATAGCATATACATTTCTTTTGAACTGATTGTTACAGATGCTGATTGTTTAAAGGATACTTTGAAAAAACTTTAAAGAAGTGAAATACTGAGCTGAGTTTAAAAACTAGCCTGCAGTGCCAGCTAGTGGCAGAAGAAAAAAGATATATATTTTGGAAAAAATTCAATAAATAAGTGACCTTGACATTTTGGCTAGAAGATAACAGAACAGCTGTGAAGAGTGAGGATTAGACTTGAAATCTGCTTTGAATTTTTTTTCCCCTTGGCTTTGTGGACTGCAGCTTTTTATTTTTCTTTTTTTCTGGACTGATTAACTTTGTTTTTTGTTTTTTTTAATAAAAGGTTTTTGTTATTTTTTATAATCAAACAGATAACATTTTCACTTGTATATTTAAACATTTATAACCCCCCCTTCCACCCCCTTCCCACCCCCCTCCCCCGACTTCCCAGAAGAAAAACAGGGTATAAGTTTTATCAAACATATGCTAAAATATGCTAAATTAATGCAAGACTATAATTCCCTAGACCCCTTAACTCCCCTTCTAGAAATTATTCATCAACCTCCCTTTAAACTCAAAATAACATATAATCCTTTAGGCCTAAGAGTTTTTTAAAAACATTAACAAACACTAATAGATCATTCAAAGCCTAGAGTTCTCATAATACATCTGTAAGAAATTCTTAGTTCATTTTCTTAATCATTTTACTCTCCCTCCTACTTTTATTCTCAAGATTCAGATATTTTTTCTTAAACCTTAATTAATCATTAATTGAATTCTTAATTCATTTACTTAATTATTGTAATTAGTCATTAATACATCAATTATTAAACCAAAGAAAATTAATCTTCCCTTCTTCCTTTCTTTCTATATTTTTTCCAATCTTTCTTCCTCCCTCTTGCTTTTATTTTAAGGAGGTTTTGATTTTCAACTGGGGGTTGATGTATCTTTAAAACTTGCCCCTTTCTTGGAATCATTTCCTCTGATTTGGAGCCCCCATATCGATTCTTCTTGCTTATATAATCAGTCAGTCCACAGAACGAAGAGTTAACTCGATGAGTTTGCAAAAAAAAGTCCAGTTGTTGCATTTCAATTAATTGTGTGAAAGCCTCTGCCAAATCTTCCGAAACCTGGTAGGGCTGATCAGTTTCTTCTTCTTTCTGCTCCAAATTATATTTTTGAAGAGTTCTGTCAGTTAATTCCACAAGGGCAGAAAAAGAGTTTGAAGATCCTTGAGAATCAGCCAAATCCAGCTTCTCTGTTTTAATCAAAATGTCTCCTTCATTGTCATTGTGCTTTCCTTCAGAAACATCCTCATTTGCTTTTAAATCCTCCACCAGCTCTATAAATTTTCGTTCTATGATTGCTGTAAAGTTATTAATAATTGCCATTTGATTATTCATGGCTTCCTTTATAAATTCTGTAAGGTTTCTGAAAAAATCCTCTTGGCTCTGTGAATCAGTTCTCTGTGTCATTTCTGACGCCATTAAAGAGCTTCCACAACTTTCAGAAACGCCTTGCTTGGAAGCCATATTATTTTAAGAAAATTTTTCTTTTCAAAGCCAAAACATCTCTTGAGCAACTTTCTCAATTTATTTGTAGTTTATCAAGCAAGATAGTCTTTTCTACACCCAGCTCTCAAATCCCAGCAGCTTAAGTCCAGTCTCTAAGCACAAATCTATTAACAAGCACTTAGCTTTCACTTTCAGTCCAGCCATAATGAAGACGCCATTCCTCCTTCAGCTCAGCAAAATCAAGTAGAAACAATGTATCCCAGGAGTTAAGCAACATACTTGCAAAGGCTTGTTCTCCTGCTTCCGTTCTGCCTGCTTTTGGAATCAATTAATCTCCTTGTTGACAGCAGAGTTGGTCGCCGGCGTCTAGCTCTGTTTAAAACAGAGTCGCCACGGATCCGGAGCTTCAGTGGGCTGAATAGGGAGCTCTCATCCTCCAAGCCCCTGGAATTGCTCCAGGGGCTCCCGGGGAGCTCTACCCTCGCCCACTGGCTCTCCTCTCCTTCTCCTCCTGAAGGAGAGGTTTTCGAGTCATCTGACAGCTGATTAGCGCTGTCAGGACGGCTCCAACAGAATCGTGGGGCTGGCGGTCTGAAAAGACCATCTGCGATGCCAGCGGTGCCAACGGAAGTCGCCCTGATTAACTTTGTTTTGAGAACTAAAAAAAAAAAAAAGCCTTGAGATTTATTTTTTCCCCTCTCTTTTTGTTATATTAGAGGCCTTTTTACTGAACTTAATGGAACTGGATTTTTAAATATTGTTTTCCTTTGGATTAAGACTCGAAGAGTCAGAAGAAATTTCTTTAATTTATTTTTTTCTCTCTTCCTCTCTGCTAAATTGATTTTCCCTTGGATTTCTATTTTTGATTTTTATCTTAAATTTATATTCTTTTTGAGATTAATTTTTCTTTTTCTTCTCTTTTTTAAATTATTTTTTGCTATTTTCTCTCCCCCCACACCTGTTTTCTTTTTTTTCTTTTTTTACATGCAAGTTTTGGAGTTTTTAAATTTTTGGAGGGTGGGAATTGCTTGAGATTCCTTCTTTTTTATTTAATTCTATTTTTGCTAATTTAACGATCGGTTGAATTAGATATTTGAATCATAACTAAATCACAAGTGGATTATAAATTATCTGGGGATAGTGGAAATGAAGAAATTTACAGCTCATCTGCATCCAGTATCAAGTCCCTCAGCAGCAGAAGCACAGAAAACTTCAGAGATGATGGAACTACGAAATTTTATGCAATTGCTTCATGATGATATAAAACAGGAATTAAAAGAAATGAAAGAAATAATGGGGAAAAATGAGGAGAGAATTCAGAAAATAGAAGAAAAAGCAGAAATGACAGAGAAAAAAGTTGAGGAATTAGAAGAAAAATTGTTCTAACAGACAAATCACAAGAAAGAACAATTATCCTGTTTGAAATGGAATGCTCTGAATTCTATTTAAGATTTCAAAATATAGAGGAAGAAAAAGGACTCCAAAATTTACTAGAGGTAATTGCAGAGATTTTGGCTGAAGCCTTGGAACAATCTAAGGAAAAAATTCTAAGTGAGATTGATGAAGTGTTCAGAACATATACTAGATATGCAATAAGGAATAAACTACCAAGAGAAGTGCACGTAAGATTCACAAAGAGGGCAATGAAAACAGAGATATTACAAGCAACAAGAATTACAGCACTGAAGCATAAAGATAAAGAACTTGTGGTTTTAAGACAAATACCTAGAAGAGTTAGAGTGTGAAGTTTCCAAAAGACACCCTAATTAAATAATGAGCCTCAAGCGAAATTTCAAAAGAAATCCAGTCATTTATTAGGAGCACCATTCCGGCAATTACTCAAATGGAGTCAGCTCTAACCCCCCACATGATTTGCGGGCCCCTATGACCCTGTTCCTCCCTTCCTCCCTAGGTATGTCATAAATCACGTTCTCCAATGGACCACGTTGATGGGCTGAAAAACCCCACCCCTTCTGCTGACCCCAGTAACCTAGGATACAATCTTTGACAAGGCATGTGTGGAATGTATTTTCCATTGGGGCAGCCGAGCAGCTTCGTCAGTTCTCCCCCTCGTGCTTATGGCAACTTGAAAGCTGGTGTGGAAAGCTTTGCAAGTTGACATAGAGATTTGAGGAGAGAATATCAATTCTTAACGAAATTTTTAATATTCAAAGGAGTGAGTTTTAGATGTTTAATACCTGAAGGAATTATGGTGACATGGCAAGAACAAAGACACAGACTTGATTCGATTGAGAAAGCGAAACTATTCTATCAACAATTTTGTGGACCATTGGAAGATCTGGGAGCTGTAGGTGTGACAAAAGAGAAAGATGAAAAGAAGGATAAAGATGAAAAAGCAAAAGAGGAAAGAGCTTTAAGAGAAGGAACAAGATCTAAAGATCCAATTGGAACAAAGAGAGAGTAGGTGTCAG